AGAACGGCGAATGACAGAAAGCTTCCAACCCCAGCTCTTGTAACTTGGAAATCGTCTGTTGTGCAGTATGTATGAGGACGCGCGTTGTCGTGCAGGAATAACGGGGATGAGCGATTGACCAAAGCTGATTGGAGACGTTCGAGCTTCTCCATTAGTTCTTTACGTATCCATGATGACGGAAAAGATTGAAATGCGATGAAAACATAACGCTAATCAATAAAAAAAAACCAATTAAAAAATAATTAGGTACATGATTTTAAAATAAAATTAATTTGAAATGGGATTTTTAGCCAAACAAAACTTATTATTATTTGAAATGGCCAGTACTGCAGAACAGCAATTTCGTAGGTAAAGACCTATTTATTACAATAGGCGGTCTTATCATTCTGGAAGCGATTTCTTCCAGACAATCTTATTACGCAAATAATTATTTTCAACAAATGAGTCGGAGGGAGATGTATATAAATTATATAATTAAGTTAAATAAATTAAATTACATTGAAAACACAAGATGGTGACTGTTGAGGAAAGTGGGATGGATACAAGAAATGTCTGGAAGTTTGGAAGTAGACACGTCAAAAAAAGTTTGTGATCACTAGCAAAAGCTGATATATATTTAAAATTTAACTTAATCAAGAAAAGTGTTTACGTTAGATCTTCTTTCAAATAAAAATACAATGTTTGAAATTTTATTTTTTAATAACGAAAATTGAGTAATTCTATCCTAATGATATTGCAACAGAAATTTGATGGAAAGAAAAAGTGTCTAACCAAACTTATAGAACAATTTATTAATAGAAGGTTTCTATTTAATACAATATAACTCCTGCCCTGGGTCGAACACATGCGGGGATCCTCCTGCGCATGCTGAGGATCAATTTATTCAGCATTTCTTGCGGTAACCTGTACCCATTCTTAAATAGCGGCTGCCCTGTTCTCTGGCACTGTCTGAGTAGGTGGCTGAGGGTTCCAAACAGCTCGCTTAAGAGCATCCCACGCGTGCTCTATTGGGTTTAAGGCAGGTCAGTCTAACTTTTTGCTGTCGTATTCTCGGAGAATAGCTGCGCTGAGTTGACTCGTTGAGTTCTATGTGAGGGCGCATTATTACCGACCATTACGAATTGGTGCCCATGGTTTACTCGGAATGGTCTGGCAATTCCATCAATAGTGACTGATTTGTACCTATCTGCCATCATGGAGCCTCGATACGGGATCAAAGGCGTGCTAACTCCAATCATAATTCCACCCCAAAAGGACACTGATTTCTCGCTTTGCTGAACGGTTCCAGTGACAGTTCTTTGCCTTTCAGAGTCTCCAGGTCTTCTCCAGATACGGACACGTCGATTATCTGGAGGAGTACTGATTCACGATTCGTCAACGAAGAGACAGTTTGCCAAATGTTTTTGTCCTCATCTTATTAATTTTGCCGAAGCCTACTCCACTGCAATCTTCGTCGCTGAAGTTGTCGTGAATTCAGAGGAGCTCGACAAGACCTCCGTTCTCGTAGTCCAGCCTGGTGTAAGCAATTCCGAATGGTCGTTTTTAGTGTTTTTAGTTTTTCGTAGTTTAGTGGCTTTGATTGTTGGGTCACGGGCTGCCAGCAATCTGATATAGCGCTTCTGAGCAACACCAGAACAGATGGGCGACCACTGTCGGTACTTTCGCAACGTGGCCACGACACAGGATTGGGATACAGCAACTCTGGGTGCTATTTCTCTCGTGGAATATCCTTCTTCCCTCAAAGTTACAATTCTCGTTCATAAAACTTCTGATGATCCTTTTGGCATTTTTTCAATCACAACTTTCCTCGAAAAAATATTTTAAATTGAATTTGTTTTATTGTATTATATAAAGAATCTAAAAAGAAGAAGAAATTATAATATAGTCTATTGTAATAAAAAGGATCGCAAACTTTTTTTGATGTGCGAATGATCAAGTTCAAAACATTAACGACTAGAATTTTAATTTTTTATGCTTTTCATAGTCGTACCACAATACGGGACGTATCTTGTATCTATGTGAAAATGTCAACTGTTTTAATGTGGGAATTGGCGTGACTTGCCCATTGCATAAATTTATGACACTAACGCACAGAACACTAAATCAGTCAGTACGTGGCGCCCTGTCACAACTCGAGTGTAGCGTAATTGTGGCAATTTCTTCATAGTCACTTCTTAGATTGCCCTGTCCGTCCTGCACTCCTTTTTTCATGAGGCCTACGCATAACCGCCTAGCTGAGGCAACATCGGGTTATTTCAGAACCGCACCGACTAAAACCCCATGGCCACGGTAACGCATTCGCATACATCCGCGGCACTATCGAAGGCGTTCCTTCTACACCAAATTAAACTAAGATTGGAGGAAGTGTACCTGTACTTGCGCACACACTCGTACACTATAAAATATATCCTGTCCTGTGCAGTAGGTTAGTCTCCGTTAAGATTGACCGCCGTATACGAAATTCGGACGAGGGAACATTTTTTTTTTAGGTGTGTGCAAAATTTCTACACATTTTCGAAATCACGAATATACCGTTTCAAAGAAAGATTAAAACGCAATAATAAATCCAAGTTTTATGTTATTTTTAGGTCATGCAGGTTTTCTCACTATTTGTTTTATTATTACCGAAGAGTATATGGAAATCGTTGGAGGTTCCAAAGACTGGTTGGTCAGGTATATATGGATTAATCAGCACTCAATTAATTCCCGCGCTGGGTGAGTATTTGTGTAGTTTAAAAATAATTATTTCGATTGTGGATCCAAGTTATGTTTGCAAAGCGCTTCAACGTCACGGAGAAATTCCGATAGTATAACTTCTTTTTTTAGAGAACTTTATTAATACAGGAGGAAATAATAGTCAGATTACCCTTATATCTTATTTATTTTAATACTGTAACAAAACAACCGCTACGATCTAAAATATATATATACTTACCTACGTACTTCATACTAAAATATAATTTATAGGAATGATTTTCTTAAAATAAGAAAACCTACTTTTTATGCTGTAATTTACTACATGTCTTAGTTAGGCGTTCGAAAATATTATGGAAATAAAATTTGTGAATTATACTGAAAAATTTGTTGATATTTTTGAAACAAAAATACAATTTTATTCTGTACGACATTTACAAATATTCAGCATAAAATCGAATGAAATAGGTACAACAAAGGCACAGTAAATCAATTATTCAAACATTCAAAGAGTTTTAAAAACTAAATATATTTCAAATCTAACAGAACGACTATCACAAAATTCCAGGCAAAAGGGCCCGAACTCTATAACAATCATTCAAAGCATTTGTTACTAGAATTACATAAGATTATAATAAAAATTAAAAGTTAACGTCATCACATTTATTCAGATGATTAGAGTAATAAATATTAAAAATGTGACTTGTAAAGGAACATCACTTTATATTCTATAAGTAGAAGTTATCATCATAAAAATTGGGGTTTTAGCGCTGTGCTGGGTTACATTTCCATATTGTAATAGCAGAAGCACAGTAATTCGACACAAGTTACAACATCATATTCACGCATCCACTGGGACAACTCTGACCAACCCTTCATGGCTGGAATAGTATAAAAACCCATTAATCTTTTAGGTTTCAATAATAAATAAAGTTAATACATTAATATGTGTTGTCTACAGTCGCAACTTGAATATGATGGTATATTTTTTATTCTAGGCAGCTATATAGTATTATGTGATTTAATAGCTAATCAGAGTTTAGAGTCTTACGACTTGTTATTTTTTATCTCTACTAAATAAAACACGAGGACATTTACACTTTAAATACCAAATAACTAAAAAATCAATGCGAAGTTACTAAGAAACATTTCTTGCTGGGTTTTAAAACAGTTAAACGACGAGGAAAACAATTTTACAACAATAACAGAGTATGTTATAAATAGATAGTTAAACATATTTGACCTTTTAGTAAGATTTTTAAGTAAATTTTAGCTTATGCACCAAATTATATTCGTAATAATACATTAGCTCATTTACGCTTTAGGCTGTGGAAAAAAGGAAACGCCATAGGGATTTAGCTTCTAAAAGATAACAGGAACGTTGTTTTGTTGAATGGGTACTGGGTACTAAAACAGTGAACGTGATTACGGCGAAGTTTAATCATAAAAAGTAGTGATTATATTCTCTTTCCTTACTAATTTCAGGCTGCGTCTAGCCGTGGACTGATATTTATTTAGAATTTAAATTTAGAATTTATATTATTCTACATTTAATGTATAATAAAATGTCCTCATTCCGAAATAACGATGAAGTTTGCATGTGATGTCTTAACTGATTTGATAATATGATACAACTAAATGCTTCATTTCATATATTAGGTAATGCATAGCTATTTTGTCATCATGAATAATACTCGTTATCTAAGAGATACATGTATTTTATTTTTGGTTAGGAAAATGCTTTTGTCACAATGCATCTAGTAATACTTAAACCCCAAAACTGTAATCCATATTAATATAAAAGACAAACAGTGCAAAGCTGAAATATGGTCCGATTTTTATCTTACACTATTACTATTGTAAATTTCTTTTTCTGCTTAAAAAGCCAATAATATTTTTACAAAAATTCTGCTTCTTAAAATTAGTACATAGTAATGCCTTTTTATTTAACCTAATATTGTATCACATTTCAATAATGCACTAGAAAAATTCTCACACATTTATAAAGTTAGATATCTACAAATACTTAAATCTAATGGCTGCAGAGATTCGGGGCTACATAAAAATATTGAAAACACAACCTGAATATATGCGATATGAATCAATCCGTAGGTGTTATGATTTTAATCATCAAGTAGTATTTGAGGATTGTGAAATACAAATTAAATGAGAAATATTTATTTATGAGTAAAATAAAAATAAAACTGATTATAATGATATTAAAAGCGAAACAATGCTAAATTAAAACTTAGCCCTTTTTAATTTCTTTTTGAGCCTTAACCTAAAAGTAGTCTTTGAAGTCGCTATTACTCCTTAGAATTGATTATTTCTAAAATACTGACATAGGAACCCGTGAAAAATCCTAAGATTCCAAAAGCAACCAAAAACAAATTTTTCCATAGAACCCAGTTAAAACGTCCGAGGCCATTAGGTCGGTCCCAAAATGCGACAATCTCAATTATGGAAGGGAAGATAAGTCCTAGGAAAGATAGGCATACAGCGCCGACGAGAGAAATGAAAGGCCCAAGATTGGGAATAGCAACAGCGATACAAAGCGTCATTATGATGATTGCAATCCTTATACTGTATTCCGCGAGATTCTTCTTAGCACCAAACCAGTGACGGACGTTTCTCCAAATGATGTCCATGGGCACGTAGAATTGAAGACTGTACGTAAAAAAGATGGCTACAGCTATCATTAACTTCACACTCTGTCCAAGCCTGAAAAATAGTAAAATAATAGTTTAATTTATGTATGTGGTAATAAATATTATATATAATTATTATTACTATAATAGACATGTATTTTGTAGATATACAGTATTTTAGATTTAATAAAATTTAAGGAAAGTTAACACTCTATATTAATCGTGGATCATACTGACCATATTTCTCTTAGATAATTGGTTAGTACGATTCAGAAATTATCATTTGCACTGTATATTGTATTTATTGTAGAGTTACAATTATGTCATTATATTGACTTAAATCATAGACTTAGAATATTAAATATATTATTAAATGTAGGTAACATTTGAACATAAATATATTATTTTGTAGTTGTCGCCATATACGAAACCAGCCACCAAGGTGGATATAACCAAGCGTACAAATAAATTATGCAAGTTATAACAAATAGTAAGTATATAGTTATGGGACTATAAGTCAGGATACCTACTGAATTGAAATCAATTATCATTATCATCATTACAGGTCTTCACTAGCCTAAGGGATGCCACAAAACATGGTCCACGACTCCTTGCATGCCTTATCAGGTCGTTACTCCGTCCAGTCTGTGGCCGCCCTACACTTCGCTTACCGGCACGGGGCTGCCACTCAGAGAGCCTTATTAAGATGCCTCCAAAAATTTAAAATGAAAAAAGATGGAATACTAACACTTCGTCTTCAGGCAAGTTGATCGTGATGCTTCCTGACGTTGCTTCACCATATTTCAAGTATCCGAAGAATCCAACGAACGCATACAGTGAGACAACAAAAAACATGCCAGTATTTAGCACTCCAGGGCATCCGATGAAATGATTCGGAGTCTTCATATTGTTCTCAAGTGGCATCACAACACCAATTCCTTCAAGAGCGAAGATAGCTGTTCCGAAGAAAGTCGGCAAGTGGTCAAATCCAGCGAAAGCTTTACGTTCACTTATACTTGGAATATCTTGGAAAAGGTAGTAGAAAGTTATGCCCATGCCGGTGCCGACCAGAAGGTTCGCAATCATTGAGAATGGCGCCAGGTATTTCAAATTCCTGATAAGATTCATTGCAATAAGCAGGGGAAGTAACAATGCCATATATATTCGGATATCCATATCGTGGGGGAACCACTCACTGTCTTTGGCATGGTAGTCCACAACTTGTTTCACATTTTTGGCAACGAATACAATGTAAACGCAGCAACAGCCCAGTAAATCTACTACCAGAAACCAATTCACAAGGGCCCTGTAAATTTAAATAAATATAATATTAAAATTAATAAACTACATAACGTTTTTAATTTTAATCTTTTAAAAATTTGCGCCAAAAATAATTTCCACGTCAGATCCGCGTTTGTCAATATAGTCCACTATGAGCAGGTGGGCTTAACACTTGGTAGGTATATGGCCAAGACTTAAATTCCATTAATGTAGCAAAAGCACAAAAACTTGCTTGCCAAATTAGTTAATTGCAATCCAAGAGGATTTTAGCAGCTTCTACTAAAATGGAGGATTTGGTGAATATGTATATTTATATACGTGGTAGAGCCATGCTGCAGCTATATTAGAAGTATAGTTGTAGCACGAGTGGTTCGGCTCGGCCGGGGAAGGACTACACTCTTACAGAATACCAGCGTAAAATAGCAGCTTAACGCTGCTGTGTTTTTAGGCCATTTTTACTGGAAAAGAGGCATTTCATCTTAGTCCTCACGGGTGACAACGCATCTGGAGTTTAATTTTTTATTGAGGATAGATGTAGATGTCTATGAGTCACAGCAACCACTTACCATCAGGTGGGTTGTGTGCTCGTTTGTCATCATATCCTATAAAAAAATATGTCAAGCTTTGCAGGGACTGTTTAAAACTAAGATAAATAATAATACCTATACATATACTTATACCTATAATTAGTGTACGATTTTTGTTGAATGTCTTAATCGTTATTAAAATTTGATATATGAGGTTAATACATTTGAATAGAGCAAGATAGATAGATAGTCTTGCTCGTCTAATATCTCGCGTTAAATTTTATTATACTTTAATCCGAGTGTGTCTGACTTTAAATGTGCATTTGTAAAATATATACTGTATGCTAGTCATATGTGTAATAAATATTACACGTGTGGCATAGTTATAATTTTAACAGCCAAACTGTATAGTAACAAATTTACCGTTGAGTCTTTTAATATTTCGTACCTCCGCAATCTGCAACTTCGTTATATATTTCTTTTCTATATAAACTCTATTTTAAGTAGGTATACAGACTGGCACATCTACACGAAAGAAATGCACAATTTTGTTAATTTGTATTGACTACTGCTACAACTAATACTGTTGGAAGTCATTTTGTGCCTAATAATTTTAATGACTTCACAGAAGATATCTTGTAGTTCAATCTCTCTATCTATACTATAATAAAACTCTAACACGATGTCTGTCTGAACACGCATCACGCAAAATAGAGATAGCCGATGTTATAAGGATTAACTTAAGCTACTTTTATTTTAGGAAAAGAATTAGGGTAGCGCGCAAAAAAATTAAAACCCATGAAATCCAATCGCAATAAATTCCACGCGGGTGAATTCGCGGGGAACAGCTAGTAGATGAATAAAATTCGGTTCCCGTATAATATCGACATTAGTCGTCATGAGTAATAATTTAATACTCACTTTGCAAGCCTTGAAAATTTGTGCATAGCTGGTGGGCCAGCAAGAAAAGCTGCTTCCGCAGTCTCGGCGAATCCCAAAGATGGTTTCTGTATCCTTTTACAGAGCTCATGTGAGGTCTTCACAAGGACGTGAACGCAGTAAGTACATATGCCACCGATGAGGAAGGTGGCTACCAAACCGAAATACAATCCAGCATTGAGGAAAGCCATAGGCATGGCTAAAATTCCACTTCCAAGAGATCCTTTCAGTAGATGGATGAGGGTGTCTATATCTCTGTAAAGAAAAATTATCTTTAAGAATATATGCTCCAGGATTAGAGTGGGGAGCTATACGATTTGATTAATAGAATCAGGTGTTCCCTCACCAAAATACATTATATTATATGATTTTTTCCGGTTTCTCATTGTTGAGGAGTTTTGGATACTTCTCAATATTTTTTAACTCGATTAACATTTAATGTACAAGCCAACTAGATAAACTCGTAATTAAAAATACCCGACTGCGTAGTATGGTATTTTTAATTATCATCATCATCATTACAGCCCGTCACAAGTCCACTGCTGAACATAGGCCTCTCCCAAAGAATGCCACAAAGCACGGTCCTGAGCCACCTGCATCCATCGACTTCCTGCATATTTTACCAGGTAGTCACTCCATCTAGTGGGCGGACGGCCTACAGTTCGTCCGCCGGTACGGTGCCGCCACGCGAGAACCTTTTTTCCCCATCGGTTGTCGGTTCTTCGAGCTATATGGCCGGTCCATTGCCACTTCAGCTTACTAATCCGTTGGGCTATGTCGGTCGCTCTGATTCTACTGCGGATATCCTCATTTCTACGTTTATCACGCAGAGAAATTTCGAGCATAGCCCTCTCCATAGCTCGCTGAGCGACCTTGAGCTTCCTCATCCGGCCAGCAGTGAAGGACCACGTCTGAATTCCATAGGTCATCACTGGCAACACGCACTGGTTTTATATTTTTAATATCTTTTACCAAAATAAAAAACACAAAAAATTCAGTTATGTACCCTATGTCACTTGCACAATTAAGACGAATCTAACGACATCATAACGTTAAAACTACCTCCTTAGTCTGGTTTTCGTAAACGCGATTGCAGATCACGAGGTACCGGGTTCGACGTAAGGGTCGACCTAAAAACCGTTATTACGTTTTTCTGTCAACAATTTCTCAGTAGCAACTCGGAGTCAGGAAGGTGGTAGTGTTTCACCCCCGTGCCTCGGAAAGCACGTAAAGCCACTTGGTCCAGCACCTGATTTCGCTTCGCTCGTGTCGGCTTACCATCCCATCGGACTGTGAGAGTGAGGGAATAGAGAGTGCAGCTGTGATTGGCGCATACACTCGGGATCTGTAATCCTGTCCTGCGCATCTGTGCCATTTGGCTAGTCTCCGCTGAGACTATCCGCCGTAACCGAAATTCGTTCGGGGGGGGGCATTATAATATGTTAAAAACCATCAAGGCATTTTAGGTTACAGAGCGTGTCAAAGAAATAGACCCATATTTGAAAACTTTACCCTCCCTTTGGCGCAGTCGGGTAAAACGGTCGGGTCGGTTTAGGTAATTGAACAAAATATAGACTGAGCTCTAATTCTAGTAGTAAATTTTAAGCCATAAAAACTGTGTGCGATAAGAAAATAATGTTGTGCGTATGTGGTTTTACGTAATAATCGACGTCATTGTGAATTAAACTCTAAATTTAGCTTGTTTTGTGGTATTATTGCTCGTAATGCATATGTTAATTTTCCCTACCAGAACTTACTCCATCTAGTGGGGTAAGTAAGACATGAAATAAGTCTATGGATGGTACTGTAATGATGATGGTGATCCGGACATTAATAGCGTAAGGTTTTTTTTGTGATTATTATTGATAACAAGCTATTATAATTACCTGATTAACCCAGAAGGACGTTTTTAATTTACGTGTATGTTTTATGTTTGAATGTTGGTTATTCCTTGTAGATTAAACAGCTTGACGGAGCGTTGGGTCGTAAGATAGAACAAGATGTCGTTAGATTAGTCTTCTTTAAGGGAATATATATTCGGCCACACTATGGTAATAATTTACCTTCACAACGCAAAACTCTATATTGCATCTCCTTGAAACGCGTAATTTATACGCAAATAATTTACTTTCTTGTTTATTTAAGTAAATCGGTTTCCATTCTATTATATGTTATAAAATTAGCAAATTCAAATAAATAATGCCTTATGCACATAAAATTGCTACTTTAAAAACACTCTACGCATGTGCATAGTAGTGGGACATCCGCAGACAGTTACTTAACTTTTTTAACAAAGGAAGTTCAGGAACACAATAAGTAAAGTATCCAAGACTCAAGAAATGTACTTACGATGTTGGATGAGCTAATTTCCTGTGTTCAAATGGATTATAATCCTCGTCGGCCTCAATGTCTCGTCCCGGTATCTCCATAAGAGGAAGAGTGGACCCCGCCTGTTGTTCCACAGGGATCTCATTTGGATCAACTTTGTATCTGTGAAACCATTTTTATATCACTGTTATAATTATTCATTTAATAATTAGATGTATAAATTAAAGTAATTATGTGGGTAAGTTAGAAGTGAGTGGGTATAAGAGTGTTTTCAATCTCTATTTCAAGCATAAAATGCATAGATGTATGATAGCTCGCAGTGAAAAAACATATAAAGCGCCACATTTTAAGCTTTATGTGATCGACCGAGATGTGAATCGATGTATGTCGCGCCGCGGGTTTCAAACTCTGTCTACTGATATTCTAACACGAATTTGTGGCAAATTTTATTTAATTGCAGATGGTTTAAAGTTAATCGCTTATATGAAAGTTAAAACAATTTCTGTGTAAGTGTCGCGATGTGAAGTATGATACATTCATTATGGTCTCCAAAATATACAGATTTTTGTTAATTTGTGTGCGTTTCACTCTATTAAGACTCGGCATTTACAAAAGTGAGGCTCAACCTTTAAATTCAATACAGCTTTACGTTGTAAAAAATAACAAACAATGTACAAATTTTCAGGAACTGACTACCAAGCTGATAGTAAAAATGATAATTCAATGATAGGGAACATAAAGGTAATGAAAGGGTTGCAGGATATTTTTGTATTGCTGAGGAGACATAAAGCTAAATTAAATTTGTACAAACAACCAGTCAGAGAGCCAATCCCGAGCCTGAATAGAGATGGCGCACGAGAGGCCGCGGCGACAGCTCGACGCTGACACGTCAACGACGCGGCGACCGCTCTCATATAGGTACACATTTCTTTTCAGATAATTACCAGTACCAAACAAAACAAATTAAATAAACAAAATTGAAACCATAAAATGGAATGATGTACCGGTGTATGAGTCCATTGCAAGATGATCAAGGTCGACGAACGACTTTAATCTCGTGGAAGCAGCACACGTCTTCCCGGATCGTCTCCGAACGGCGGCGAGCTTATTTAACTCGTTAAAGGAGCAAGTACTTAACAGTCAACATACAATATAAAAGATCATTTTAACAATAAAACAATTGGCAATAAACAGTCAAGCGGGGGCTAAGTTAACCCCCGCACTGAACTTTTTTACTACATATTAAGGTGTTTAACTTGATAACATATAGACTACAAATGTTCTTTTCAAAGTCCTGTTGAACAAAAATGTCAATATTATTAATGTTCTGACTCATTTGGTAGATATTCAAAATAATTTACTTGCCAACAAAAATGAGTTTAAGCTGTGGAAGCATGCTTTAAATTCATAAAGTTTTCTAATTATCAAGCAAGGAAAAATGATCGGATATGTCATCAGATTAAATTGAAGTAGAATTATTAACAACACACAGGTATTCAAAGCTGATATGTTGATGATCGTCGCTCTAACATCCTCGTCGCAGAAGTAAGGAACATTGTCACTTACTTGACCATAACGACATCTGATAAGTCATTTCTGACTCCTTTTTTCTTGGGATCATATTCGGCTATCATCGGCCGCATTTGAGGTTTCTGAAACAAACACATACAGTATATCAGTAAAATATATTGAAAACAATTAATAATTACTATATATAATTTTTATTTTTTTAAACTTAAAACAAACTATATTGTGCGTGGCTAAATCTTCGAATAAAATTATTTCTGAAATCTTAACTGGCGCTTTCTTAAAAAGGGGGTACATGTAACGGTAACTGATTATGTTGACACTTGAATGAATTTTATTTATTTTAACCACATATTAAATGAGATCATTATATAATACGAGTATATTATATAATCGCCCTGTCCAATTAACTCCTTTAATCTTCTGCTACTTGTGGGGACATATTCGTATATATACGATTGTTACCATTTTTCCTCTATACCTGATTTTGATCAATCGAGAAATGTGTACTGTCGCATTGAGGTTTTAAATGCTTTCTTATTTGCCTTGTTTATTATGAATCTATGTCATTTTCATGTCACGATATTTTATTATATTATGTCTCATTATTTCAGTTGTTTCGACAGAACTTAGTTTTATTAAAACAGGTAACTAAATCATAATGAGTATCTCCAATAATGACTAACTTGCCATTAGGTCATAGATTACTAATATTGTTTAGGACTTTATGTATCATCGTATCACTGTTGTAAAAAATACGTTAATTTTAGTAATAAAGTTTTACGTTCCTTAAATTAGAGCACTTTGTTGTTTTAAGTATTCTAGTAGGTGTTCGATTAATAAGTAAATTTTATATTAGTTCTACAACGGGAAGGTAAGAGAGGCCTTTTCATTTTGTTTTTCGTCTTTTTTGAGAACTTTCTAATGAACTTGTTACTTAATAGGTATGATAACATACTGAATGTAATATCATGCTAAAATCATAGGTTTATAGACTCACTCATAGATATACAGGCAAAGTAATTTTTATTGATAAATTAAAAGAGAATAAACCGTAGTTCATTGGTATATTGAACGGCCAATTTAAATATTGAGCATTACTTAAGTATTATTCATTGTCACGGCCAATTCAAATATTGATCATTTATTTTATTGTAATATGTATTATTTTTCTAAGATAGTTAAAGAAATTTATTATTTAGCAGTATAACGAAGCAAAAGAAATTATATAAATTCTATACGTAACACTATTGGGAATTTTAAATGCGAAACTGATCTTAGGAAAGAATAAATAAAACAAATATTAAAAGTTATGTGTTTCGTATTTCCATTGAAATACACAATGGCATTCCACCAAGAGACAACAATCGCTAATATAAAAAAAAAATCCCCAATGTTTTTTTTGAAGTAAATAAGTAACAATGCGGTGCTCCTGTGACGTTTTAATGACGTTTCGAGCGGCAGCCAGTTCAGGAGCTCGGTTGGCTCATGTTATGTTCACGTGACCAAGCCAAGAGCTATTTTGGTGGGATATAAATAGCGAAAGATCCAGTGTGCCACAATCGTGAATGTCGCGAATATCGGGAACCGAATTTATCGGAATTCTTAAATACTCGCGAATTGTAGTCTTGCTTTAGTATATTATTATATACTAAAGCAAGTAATAATAAATAATATAAATAAATAGTAATAATAAATAATAAATAAATAATAAGCAAGTATAATAATAATAAACCCTATTTTCTGTGGATTAAAATTATGTTTTTGAGAATTTCTATGAACACACTTATGAGAGCTCTCTTTTTATAATAGATATTTTCATAATTTGAAATCGTTACTTTAACTGCAAAATATCCTTTTAAATAATGACTCACTAACGGTTGGATGTATCTACAATATTGTGAATGTAATTTTACTCCCCTAATTGTATTTTGTGGACTTGTTGATTTGAATATTTTGTTAATAAATGTTAAGCAATTTAAAACTTTAACTCGAAAGTCTTAAGTTTGTTATTTTGTAAATGTATGGATTTTTAGTTGTTACCTGCATTCGATTGTTTGCAACTGGATTAAGCTGGTTCTGATGTGTGATTGTGTAGAAACCAGTTCTATATCACAAAACCCAATTATTGTTAAGCGTCGAACACATGCGAAGATGCGAAATGTGAAATATTTTCATGTCTATTTAACGTATTATTTCTTATATTTTTTCACAAATAACGTAACCTTAAAGCTATTATGTTACTACAATTTTCATAAACATTATATTTTTAAGCAACATACATATTTACAAAGTAATGCTTAGTTTTTAATTAATGTTTCATTGAATACGTCACGTTACATAAATATCATAACTTAATTTTTTCTATCTTTACTGGCCAGTTAAAGTTCACAGCTGGTCACGCTTGGTAGGTGATTGACGTTCGCAGTACCAGACGTCTTGCACCTTGGCACTGCTGCCTGTCGCAGGTCTGATTTCTTTACGTCTGACGTAAACGAGATACATAAAGCCATTCTATCGAAATCAATTAAGAATTTTCTTGAATATCCCACAGTCATCTCTTACTGTTACACAAAGAGACATAATGAAGTAATGGATTTACAGAGACGCATCCACCTTACGGCACAGGGAAATGTTCTTGAACTGTAACTTAAGTTAAAACGTGAATGGAATTCGTGATAAACAGATAATATAGAGTAACAGAAAGACAGTTATTTATATTGTGTTACTCGTGACGAGCCTATAATGGGTACATTACATATAAACATAATAATGTGTGACGACAAAGATTGCTACTGTTTGTCGACCAAGTTGTGCGCACTTCAGTTCTAAATCACTTGCGAAGGCCACCAATGAAATTCAATGTTATTCGCAAAGAAGTGCGGACACGCCTCTCTACGTCAGACCGTTTAAAATAGATTCTGTACATTGAAATTATTACGAATTTTAAACACGAGACAACAAGCTTTTGATTTGTTGACGTAGAAATCTACGTTATACTCTCCTTACTTGACACTAAACGTTTATTTTATACGTTTTATTAAATAAAGACGATGGATAGTTTTGTTAATAAGCAATAATCAGCAGTCAAAATAAATAGCAAAAATAAAATTATTTCATTTCAATATTAAAATGAAATAATTATCATTGGATGGAATTTACTGTATGGACGGAATACTTAATGATACAAGGTACCGTTTGTGCAAAGTGTAACTGAATGAATAAGTAATTCTATGCCGAATGAGAAGTGAAACTGAAAGTTGCATGCGCAATGCGATTCTTTAAAGGAGAAACTATGAAAATGCACCATCGCATATTATTGAGATACGATATGTTAATGCGAGACTGAGATGAAAATACCACGTTTGTGCTATAAATGCATAGAACCATGAATGCATTAAACCTCTTCGCATATTATGTGCTCCTAATGTATGTACTGCTACTTTTCCAAAATGCGTTTCATCTTCTTTCTAGCGTTTCGAAAATGATGATGGTTCATAAAACGGTAGAAATGGTGTTGGAAGTGGAGGAAGTAGAACATACCCAATGTTACGAAATTCCAGAAGATTATAAAGTAGTTTTGAGCGCAATTTATGTTCCGATAGAACCAAATTACTAGGAGTACAGAAAGCTTAAAGAAGCTTGTTACTACCACATAGGTATTGTCTACGGTACAAAAGATTTACATGTAGTAGTAGTTATTAAACCAAATTATAAAATAGGCGCCAACTCCATTTATTCCATGTTACAGGTTTTCGATTTCAATGTATGACTTTTTTGTATACTATATTATATGTAACGCGATAACTTCTACAATTGTAAACTATTTTTTTAATAGATTTCACATGATGACTACATAAGTGGAGACTTTACTCTTATATTAGAGTGATCACTTCTGAAATTAAACCGGTTTTTACTTTATATTTAAAGTTGAATTAAAAGTGAAATCAATATTGTCGAATAACGATTGAAACAAATTTTTTAGTAGTATTGATAATTTACGAAGAATTATTTGTTTTCTTAAATAATTAATAACTTTTTTATCATTATAAATATTATATAATCTCCGACAACCCTCTGTCCTATAAAATTCTTAAATTCGTAATAAAAAATATTGAGGGTCACTTGTAGGGATAAAAACTATCTCTCAAGTTAGACCAAACTGCACACGGTGTGTAAAATTTCATTACAATCCGTTTAGTGACACGTAATTTTTATATATAAAGATATTATTTTTAAAGCAAAAATCTGTATTATATAATGAGAAAATATAAAACTAAGTTTAATTGGACAGTTATTTATAAGCTGAGCAGTGGGAGCTCACAAAAACTCGTACGATCTTACGATTGTGCTCATCATCACTATTCTCTTTAATACAGTCCCGTGAGTCAGATGAAGGTGTAAAAGCCAAAAAGGCTAACATCAATGAATATAGACAGGTTCCTGGAATCTTCAAACGGGATTTGTTTTCAAAAATTTGTATAGTATTAATAAATAACTCCCAACTCACTTTCATCAGCCCGCAAACTGTCCACTGTAAAACATTGGTCTCTTCCAATAGTTTATAAAGAATAAATATATAACGTCAAATCGTTGTTACAGCCAAATCTCCGTTTGGGAGAGCCCAAATTTATCAAAAAGCAATAATTTCTCATTGAACGGTTAGGAACATAGATATATATGTATTGTTACACAAATTTATCACCGGCAGTTAAGAACGATGTTTTTAAGTTTTTAGTACCGGTAATCAAACTGAGTAAAAAAAAATATAGAAAATTACAGAACATAACTTTTATACTCTAATTGAATATTTAATATAAATATAACCTGAACTTTATTTTCTTAACCGTTGAACGCTATTTAAGAATCAATAAAAGTTTCATAAAAGTTAAAAGCTTTAAAAGTCTTAATGTCCCGGAAACTTAAAACTACACTTTCTGTAACCACTGCTATCCTAGTAGCTTCCAAAAAGTTTTAGTTCAATACTTATTTAACCAGGCCTCCCTTTCATTTCAGCGCATGTCTTTTGATTATGCGCAATGTGTCTTTTTATTATTTTTCATAAATTCTTTAATTATTAATGATTTTAGATATTACTTTTTTATAGAATATGGGTGACTAACGA